AAATATGGTTTTAAATTAATGAATTAAAAAAGTAGAATGTTATAAAATAATTACAGAAAATCAAGAGTTCTCTGAGAAGAGGTTTAAGGCAACAGAAGTCAATTTTGGCTATAGTGGGAAAGTGCTTATCAAATTGTGTTAGGCAATTTGCTTCTAAGAAATAGTTTCACAGGCTTTTTAAAAAATACTATTTTTAGGACAATGTATACCATTTTGACTCATTTATATCTAGCATTCAGAAGCAGGAAATTTCAGACCTCAGGTAATAGCACCCAACAATTTGTAGGTAGAACCACTGTACTTGGCTTACTTTCCAATTACATACTACTTTTATGTATTTATAATATCTTCTATAATAAATATCTACTGTTGAAAAGATAAAAATCCAGAAAAAATTACTCAAGTTAAATATTTTTTAAGCCTCACCTGAGAATATGTTTTTATTGGTTTTTAGAGTGAGGAAGGGAGAGAGAGAGAGAGAGAGAAACATCAATTGATTGGTGGCCTCTGTACTTGCCCTGACCGGGGATGAAACCCGCAACCTTTTTGGTGTATGCTTTATACAGTAACAAGTTTTAAGGACAACTAACCTTCAACAGATTGAGGTAACAGACTATATCTGATATCTTATGTTTTAAGTTCGCTATCTTTATACTTTCCCGAGACCTTCCTTATAATCCTATACGCTCATTTATCCTGATTCTCCTGCAGATAATCATAAAAATGAGAAAAGACCCTTTAATTGAAAAAAAGATTAAAATAATCATAGATTGGCCTTTTAAAGCTATAATGGCTTTTACTCCTTTAACAAGTGAAAATTAAAACTACATTGGAAAACTGTAAAAATTTTTTAAGATTTTTTGCACATAGTTGAAAAGGCTGATTTTCAAACAGTGCTCGTTTTAAGTTTAAAAAATAATTACTCTTCCCTCAGGGAGTACAATTAGGAATCAGCTACAGCAATCTCAATTACACAACAGGCAACTAAGTTAAGGTTGTGGCAGGTGGGGCGTAAGAGAAAGGGAAGAGGGATTTCATGGTAGGAACTGACAGTCCAGCTGGAGAGGGGAGGCACGAGGTGATTGGCAATGTTAGTAAACTGATAAGAAATATAGGTAAAAGGGAATGGTTGGAGTAAGAGAAAGTCATGAGTTCACTTTTGAATGTAGTGAGTGGTGCAGACATTCGAAAATTCAGCTCCGGAGGTCAGGAAAGAGACTGGAGACACGGGGCTGAGCCACGTGCAAGCAGTGTTGGATTACATGAAATTACTGACAGAGAACACGTAGAACAGAGTACGAAAACCTTAAGAAAATCTCAAATCAAGAGGATGAGCAAAGAAAAAGAGACCAAAAAAGTAGACTGAGAAGCAGCAAAGAAAGAGTTGGGAGAATGAGGGGAGTGTGGGGTCTCAAAGTTGAGGGTAATAAAAATTTCAAGTAGAGAACTGGCAGGGAGGAGTCCATAGGAGGTGAGACTTTGGGGACTTCTCTATTAAGAAGCCATTAATCTGGGATGTGAGGGTGACATGGCCGCGACATCTGCCACCCCATTGATTGCCAGGGTTGATTCGGCTCATCTGGCTGGCTCAGCGGGTGTCCCCTGCCTCCGTCACCGATCCAGATGCTGCCTCGGGAAGCTACACGCTCAAAGAGGACGACCTTCCCTCACGAGGAGAGGATTTGTCTTCAGTCAAGGGTGTTTGAGTAGCTGCCCTCCCCTGCTAGGACCTCCAAACGAGGTCTCGGGAAGTCATTAACCTGGAGTTGCTCTAACGGTGGACAGAGTATCAAAACAGCTGACAATGACGCTCTAGCATTCTTTAAGAATCGTAGTACTCTGCCTAGCAAACGAGACCATTCTCTAAGCAAGTAAAACACCATAAACTAGATGAATATACCATGTTAACATAGCTTGATGCCACAAGTGACTGGTTTTCCATTGACTAATATGTTTACTTTCCTCCTCTCAAATCCAGAAAAAAATTCAAGTGGCTACTCCTGGTCTTTTAGCTAATTCATCAGCCAATTCTGTCACCTCTCTCTCTGAAAATGAGTTCTGGTTTCCAACATGTCTCGCTCGCTACAACCGCTGTTACCACGCTGATCCAAGCCAACATTATCTTAATTTGTCTGCCTGCTTTAGTCCTTGGCCCCCTGTAGTCCTGACTCAACACAACAGTCAAAATAATCCGTTAAAAATATCTACCAGATCACATCATTCCTCTGTTCAAAATCTTCCAGTGGCTTCCCATTTCACACAAGAACCAAAGTCCTTGCAACAGCGGATAAGGTAATCTCATCCCCTGTGACTTATCCCCTCACTCCCTTGGTCCCAGCCCTACTGGCCTCTGTGCTGTGCATCTAACACAGTGGTTCTCAGATTTTTGATGTGCATCAGAACCGTCTGGAAAGCCTGTTAAAATACAGGCTGCTGAACCAAACACCCATCATTTCTGACACAGTAGCTTTGGAGTGAGGCCAAGAATTTTCATTTCTAACAAGTAGCTGACACTGCTGATCAGAGGACCACACTTTGAGAACCATGGGTCTAACATATCAGCAACAGTCCTGCCTCTGACCTTTGGCACTACCTGGAACATCTCTATCTCAAAGAGCCTCAAAAAATAAAAGTTAACAAATGAGTAGTACATGGAAAAAGTAGTGGCTCATGGCAACAAGCTAAGAAAACACGGATTATGCATCAAGTCTATGGTGTCTTAATTGCTTGGAGAACTGAATAATTCCTTCAGTTTATGATTCAAATATCTTATGATCAGTGACACAATCCTTGACCTATGGAAGGCAGCAATGTCACCCTGCCTCCCCAAAGAAAGGCCAAACTACCAAAGGACTTGTATGCATGCATATTAGCATAACCAATGGACACAGACACTGGGGCGGTGGGGGCTTGCCCGGGGTGGGAATGGCTGGGGGGGGGGTCATTTGGGGTAAAAGAAGACATATGTAAAACTTTAGACAATAAAAAAAAAAATTAGAGGAGGAACCAGAGAACTAAGTATCATTAGAATAGTGTTCATTCCCTAAGAATGTATATGCTATAAGAGACTGAGTACTCTGTTTTAACAATGGACTGTTTTAGTATCATATTCCTGGCAAAACCATTTTTAAAAGATAAATTAACACATTTCGTACCGCTCAGGAGTTTGCTCGTGTTTCTCGCGCCATCTGTGTTCTCGTTTTTCACGCCCATGGAAAAAGGAGCGAATCTAGATACTTATGTAAATTTTGTTTGGTCCCTCTTCATAGAGGAAAATGTTTTACGCAGTACCATACGTTTAAAAAGTACTAGGAACTTCAATTGTTTAATTGTTTAATTGTTTAATTGTTTTTGTAAATAAAAATGTTATAATTATTGAAAAACAACACCTAAAGTGCATTATGATGATTTAAATAACGTGTAGTTTGCCCAAAAACGTGCGGTCCCTGGTGTAAGTCTTAGAGATTTCTATGCGATATGCAATGTGTTAAGAACTGCTACATAGTTAAAACTGAAAAATAAAAAAGAAATTAAAAATAAAAAGAAAGTCAAGGGTAGGACAATGTTAATGAAACCTGACAAGTAAATTATTAATGTGTCGGTATTCTTTAAAAAGAAGAATATTAGCATATTTTCTGATCAGTTAGATATAACGTTTTCTGTACAAATAACTCATAATTTGGTTGTCATGTAAGCGTGAGTCTGCACACTCGTGTTTTGCTTTTGTACGAAAGTTGGATTTAGAAAATAAAATTATTTGAATTATTCAACACTAAAAAAAAGAAAGAAAGGCCCAACTAGATCACTCTGCAGTGAAGGCTACAACTGATACACTAAGCTCCTAATCAGCTTTGGAATTCTCTCTTAAATATGAACACACAAACAGACATGACCAGACGTTTGAGGAAAATATCTAATATAAAATACAGATGCCAAAACAACTAAAGTTCAAAATAAAAAACAGTAAATTCAGCCCGACCAGTGTGGCTTATGCAGGAGGCAGCTGATCAATCATTGATGTTTTGATCTCTCCCTCTCTCATCCTTGAGGTTTCTATCTCTCCCTCTCCCTTCCTCCCTCTGAAATCAATAAAAACCTTTTTTTGTTTTAAGAAAGAGTGAACTCACCTTTATTCAGTTTTAATGGTAACGTGATCAAATTAAACAACATTTAATTTGCAGCATATTCCTTTTTTAACCATATTCCCTACACTATGGCCTATTTCAAAACTAATGTTTAATCTATTATTTGAATAGAAACGAATCCTGGATAATGCGTGAGAATGTTGCTTTTAGAAATATTTTCTGCCCTGACCGGTTTGGCTCAGTGGATAGAGCGTCAGCCTGCGGACTCAGGGGTCCCTGGTTCGATTCCGGTCAAGGGAATGTACCTTGGTTGTGGGCACATCCCCAGTGGGGAGTGTGCAGGAGGCAGCTGATCGATATTTCTCTCTCATTGATGTTTCTAACTCTCTATCCCTCTCCCTTCCTCTCTGTAAAAAAAAAAAAAAAAAAAATTTCTTTTTGAGGTAAGCCAGCCAAAATTTCCACTTTTCTGCGAAGTTACCAAGTTGCATAATGCTTGTATGCTTAACTATATTTATCAGAACAAAGTTCATTTTCCAACACAATGAAACTAAAGCCACCTTTTAATTCTCATCCCAATAACCTTCTTCTCCCTTAAAGGCTGCCACTTTTGTTTTTCAAGACCTCTTCTTTACTCTCTTCTGCCAAAAAGCCTCTTGGATTTGGTTCTACCGAGGTGATCCACCAGTTCTTAAAACATAACGCACGCATATTGCTGTATACTACTGCTTCTCGGGATAAGGAGGGCCTGTCATTTTCAGATCAGACAACCCAGAGGACACTCCGGGTGAACTATCAAGCAGAAATACTTAGCATAGCCCCGAGGTCTAGAAATGTATCAGACAGACAGGGAAAAAACATTTCCTGATACAGGTTCTCCATAACAGATGGAAACAGCATAGGTAACATACATACTCTGAGGCAGGAAAAAACTTACTGCAGTGGACAATCTAGATGCCAATGTCATTTCCAAGTTCCCTTTGAGACCAAGTAGTGCAGGAACTAAAATGAAAACTTCCGTTACTTTTTTGAACACCTCCCAGTGCTGTAAGGAAAACAAAAATAGAATTTGCTGACACTTAAAAAAAACACATGTCAGAACAAAGACATTTCTAAAAAATCTCAGCCTTTTTTCCAATGTTGCATTTGCTTTTTGAATGACAACACAGGTCATTTAATCAGTGAACATTTAGCTTAACCCGTTCTCCATAGCTCTGAAGCCTTGAGTTACTTTAGAAGCTCCAGTTAGAGTTGGGAGTGATAGCTGAAAGTCACTACATCCCAAAATACATCTAGCTTGCTACACACTCCACCCTTAAAGTTTACTTTATCCCTTTTTGATGGCAAAAGTTAGTGTAACTCATGCTTAAGAGCACAGACTCAAGAACCAGGTAACATGGGTCTGAATCTTGGTTCCAACACTAATTACAACCACCCCACAGGAAAACTACATTAATATTATCTAATTTCACAAATCCTATATAATAAAAGGGCAATATGCAAATTGACCGAACGGTGGAACAACCAGTCGCTATGACACGCACTGACCACCAGGGGGCAGATGCTCAATGCAGGAGCTGCCCCCTAGTGCCTCTGTGGCAACACTAAGGATGTCTAACTGGATGCCATCAGTCAGACATCCCCTGAGGGCTCCCGAACTGCAATAGGGCACAGGCCGGGCTGAGGGATCCACCCTCCCCAAAGTACACGAATGTGCCTGGGCTTCTAGTGAAGAAATAAAGATTCAGGGAGGTTAAATGACTTTCCCAAGGTCAAAAAATGAGACTCAGAATTGACCTCAGGAGTTCTGAGTCATCCATGTTCTGGTCCCAGTTTGAGGTTTTGAAGCAAAAAGGTTGCAGAGCATCTATAATAATCTAATCTAATAACAGACAAACAGGGTAATTGACTGTACCTTCGCTGCACCTCCCATTGGCTAATCAGCGAGATATGCAAATTAACCGCCAACAAAGATGGCAGTTAATTTGCATATGTAGGCACGAAGCGGAGCAGCGAAGGCGCTGAAGGCGGCTCCAGCCGGAGCGAAGGCCTGGGTCCCGGGTGCCGGAGGAAAACCGGTGCCGGCAGCCAGGGGAAGGGAAGGCCTATTGCACGAATCTTTTCATGACCTGACTGTGTGATTCTGGATGAGGCCTGTATCTTTCAGATCTCAATTTCTTCATCCATGAAATGCAGATACTATCTGCTCTGTCTAGACCTTTGGGAAATACCATGATAATGAAAGTAACACATATTAAAGTACTTTATGAATTGAAAAGACTATACAAATGACTTAACACAAAGTGCTATTTTACAAATGCTATTAAGAGGTGACTGTCCCAGTAAGAGACTTTATATACTAAGCATATTAATTCATGGCAAAAAATAATCAAGAATATAGCCATGATTAATACCAAGACAGATGAGGAAAAAAATTTAAATCCATCAGCTAAATTAAAGAAAAACTCACTTTGTCCCCAAAGTTTCCCTAGAGGTTGTTCTAGACAGGTGTAGAACGAGGGCCGAAAGAGAGTTTAGGAAATGTTTATTCAGATCAGTCTCTGGTAAAACCCTGGTTCAAAGGCTTTTCAAGGAAAGCCCTCCCTTGCAATTAAAGATGGACCTAAAACAGCACTGGGACTCCAGTAGCATCCTGGATCCCTTACCCTGTCAATAGGTAACAAACATGTTTTTGTCCCTGTTTCATGATGGGTTAAGGATTCTGCTGTGCTAGTGGGGAGATGCAAAGATGATGGTGTGGCAGTGGTGGTGATGATGATGATGATGATGATGATCAATAACAACAGATAATAATAACGACACTGCTAGGGATATAATGGCTAAAATAAAACAAAAACTTACTAAAAGTAACACAAACAGCTATCTGATGAAAATGTATTATAAAGAGTCTAAAGACATGTTTATAAGGATATTTATGATAGCACCAGCATGGGGGAATGAGTAAGTAAATTCTGGTGTAGACATACAATGGAACATCAAGCACTCACTTGAAAATGCAGAATATCTCTGTTACTAATTTGGAAAGGTGTCGAAGATGTAATATTAAGCAATGACAATAAGTTCCAGAAAAATATATATACAGCATTTCACTTTGATGTTTGGAAAAAAAAAAAACACCTCTGCACAAATGTATATACATGTGCACAGAAAAAAGTCTGCAAGCATGTACAACAAACTCAGAACGAGGTGACCTCCAGAGGTTAAGAGAGTTGGGGCTGGAGATGAAGAACAGGGAAGACTTTTTATCTTTTGTTTAACACTCTATATCAGTGATGGCGAACCTATGACTGTAAAACTTTATGAAGACTTACATCCTGGACAGAATGAGACTATTCTCTTAGAACTTCTAGAGCAGTGATGGCGAACAAATATCAAAAATATAAATCTTTGTTTTACTATGGTTGCAAATATAAAAAAATTTCTATATGTGACACAGCACCAGAGTTAAGTTAGGGTTTTTCAAAATGCTGACACGCCGAGCTCAAAAGGTTCGCCATCACTGCTCTATATTGTTCAAAGCCAACTTTATTATTGTAAAACTTTATGAAGACTCACGACCGGGTCAGAATGAGACTATTCTCTTAGAACTTCTAGAGGAAAACAAACAAGAAAACACCTACAAAGAGCAAAGTCTCTACCCAGAGTCAGCGTCGGTTCATTCTACTATGGGACAACTGAAATCTAAAGGTAAGTGTCTGAGATGCGTAGCCTGCATAAAGCACCTGGAACAACAAAGACAGTTAAGTTAAAGACGAAAACCTACCTGGACTATATCCAGAACCATGCCGGCAGAGACGGTTCCAAAGCCAGCTAGCAGAAATGGCACGAGGATCTGCAGGGCCATGACGCCGCTGGATTCCTTCGGCAGCTTTTGGTTTGCTTCCACGATGACATCTTCCTCGCCGTCACTGGGCCTTTCCTCGGCTTGCAGCATGGCGGTCGTTTCGGAGGTCTCCCCTCCGTCACAGTAATTGTAGTTGGCATAGTCGTCGTACTTTGGGCTATAGCTGGATGGCGTGTGCCCGTTATTGCCATGGAAAGACGGCTCCGGGACTCTGTGATACTCCACGTGTGGCTCAGATCTGGTACCAAACGTCTGTGCCACAGCTGATAACCCCTCTTGCCAAATGCCGTTCGCTTTTTTGTGCCTGTCTTCTGGGTTTTTCTGGTAAATTACTGGAACCATACTCAACAGTAAGTTTAAAAACTTATCGGACTGAACTGTATGTAAGCTTAAAGTCCAGTCTACGAAACCTCCTCCACTGCTTGGACCACCACTTGTTTTATTAGTAACAGATCTTCCTTTACTATTAGTCATATTGTCATCGCAAAAGACCCTGTACTCCTTAGATCTGAAGCTTCATAAACCATAGCAGATGAATCAGAACCACATAGATGCTGGTTTCAATTAAGATGCTGAATTCATTTTGTAGCAAAATAATGTTTCCACTAATAAAAGTTGTTTAGATGTTCCACACAGGGATGGAATCTGGAAAAGAAAAGATAAGGTAATTTTTAAAAAGCAGATGAACTATGTGGATACTTAAGGTTTTCATAATTAAAGATATAAAACACTATCCTCACAACATTGCCATCAGATAGGTATTATTAGCCCCATTTTATAAATAAGTTTTAATCTTTCATCCCTGGTTCATGAAACTGTCAAGCACAAAGCTTTAATTTTAAACCGAGTTCTGATGTTAAAGGTTTAATTTTAACCACCACACTGTATTTCTCACCACTTTGTGTGCTGAGTTTGCTTTAAAACCCTCACAATAAATCCTTTTGCCTTAAAAAAAATAAAACACATATGTTCTTAAACCAACCCTAAGATACATTATACTTCTTGGACTTAACACATAACTGCTTTGTGCCATATAACTGCTTTGTATGCAGAAATATACGACAGAGCTATTTTCTGTGCTCAATCTCGGTTATAAATTTTCTTATCTTTGCATATTCTCTGTAACTAATACCTATGTAATGTCTTCAACTGTCCCTAAAGTTATACAGTGGACAAATTTATTAAGTCAAGTGATAGCTTCCATTACTATAGGGTGATCTCAGAATCAAACTGCTACAACACTTTACAAATGTCAGTACACAATAAAAGGTAAGGCATATGATAATATATTTTAAACACATTAAATAATAAACCATGTTAGTTTATTTATATATTTTTAAAAATATGTTTTTATTGATTTCAGAGAGTAAGGAAGAGGAAGAGAGAGAGAGAAACATCAATGATGAGAGAGAATCATTGATCGGCTGCCTCCTACATGACAGCCCACAACCAGGGCATGTGCCCTGACTGAGAATCAAACCATGACCTCCTGGTTCATAGGTTAACACTAAACCACTGAGCCATGCTGGCTGGGCACTTTATTTATATCTACATAGTGGCAAGTGCAGCGGTGGTGACAGCAGTCTCTCCTGCCTCCACGGCAGTGCTAAGGATGTCCAGCAGTGGTAACAGCAGCCTCTCCCGCCTCCACAGCAGTGCTAAGGATGTCCTACTGACAGCTTAGGCCCACTTCCCTAAGCTGTCAGTCAGACATCCCCCGAGGGCTCCCGGACTGCTAAAGGGCGCAGGCTGGGCTGAGGGGACCGCCCCCCCACCCAGTGCATGAATTTCGTGCACCAGGCCTCCGTTATCTAGGGGAAAACCAAAATGCAAAGGGATCACAAATATTCACTTAACCCTCTATTTTGCAAGCCAACCAAAAGAAAGCTCATAATACACTTACCACTTAATGCCCTTCTCAAAGTCTGCTCTGACACACAATTCCAGAGTGGGCCCCGGATAGGCTGGCCAGTGACCAGATTCTCTCACAGACTTTGAACTGAGACACAAACACATACTTACTATTGCTAGTTCGAGACTGATGGGCACTGAAGCTGCAAGATCATACCCACCTGCCCGGGTAGAGAGCCTATTGGAACAGCTGCCAATGCTGTCAAAGCTATCTATCACAATGGCTCTAAGGGCGTCAGGTGTTTCTCAGGAAACTGGCACTGACTTGATAAGGGACAGATGGCCCCACCGCCTGAATGGACTGCCCACCCACCAATTTAGATGAAGAACTGTTGTTGTCGGTACTGCTGCTTTTAAGGAAAATTATTGTATTCTTCAATATCTGTTTTCAATGCCTTAGAATATCCATCTCTTCTCCTTGGATAGGGGACAAGTGGATGCTAAGGTGTGCTCATCTATATCATCATTCTCTCCTTTTCCTTCTTCCCCTCTGGTGATTTTGGAGGCGTCTGAATAGTCCTACCGGGAAACATTCTTTTTTTAAAAATATATTTTATTGATTTTTTTACAGAGAGGAAGGGAGAGGGATAGAGAGTTAGAAACATCGATGAGAGAGAAACATCGGTCAGCTGCCTCCTGAACACCACCCACTAGGGATGTGCCTGCAACCAAGGTACATACCCTTGACCGGAATCGAACCTGGGACCCTTCAGTCCGCAGGCCGACGCTCTATCCACTGAGCCAAACCGGTGAGGGCGGGAAACATTCTTAAAATACAGATTCTAGGACCCCATACCTACTGACTGAGAATTCTATGTCTGAGCCCTATAAATATTTCCTTTTAAGCTCCCCAGGTGATGTCGGTGCAAGCTTCCTGTGATCTTGCACTGAGAATCCAACGAGTAGATTAAATACCAGTTGCCAGTTTGGGCCACCTGCAGAGTGATGGGCACACACAGTCAGTCCGTGTTTAGAGAAAATCAGATGAATGGAAACGTCCAGGGGAAGCAGAGAAGAAACCAAGCAGCCCCAGAAAGCGAGATGAATAAGGCTGGGCTGCTGCCGAGAACCTCCGCGTAATGAGAGGCCAGGCTGCGTGTCTGGGACTTAGGAGATTCCCAGCAGCCTGAAGTGAGTCAGACTGAGTTTCTTTTCCTTCAACCCACTCACCTCTTTTTTTAAAAATGAGCATTTCACTGCCTCCAAGGCATATTTAATCAGACAAAATATAAAACACACCTCAAAGAGACTGAGTTTTCACTGAAGGGCAAGTGATGGATACAGGCAGTTCCTTCCTCTTCAGGAAGCAGAATTATCAGCTTGATCAACATGGAAATGCAGAGAAATGGAGATAAGCCAGAAAGAAGGGTGACAGTCCCTGTATCACCATTCAGTCACCCTAAAATTCAGAAAGCTCAAAATGCGCTCTTGGGAAACTTGATCAACAGAAAGATGGAGGGAAGGGAAGGAAAGAAAAGGAGGAATTTCCCAAGATGAGTCATCTCTCTGAGAACAGTGCAGGACATGGCTAAGCACAGAGTCTACTCTGGGTTGGCCTTTGGGATCCAGTTGCAGAGACACGTCCAGTTCATACTTTTGTTCCTATTACTAGTATTCTTACTTCAGCATAAGCTATTGTGGTTAGATGGGGAGGTAAGTAGTGTACCAGGGCCGCTGTGCACAGAGACCATACAGAGCCTTTGTGTCAAGTCAAAACCAGAGTGCCTCCCGGAAAAAGGAAGCTTGTGAGTGGAGCCCTGGGCTGCAGCTCAGCCCACTCCATCCCCTCAGCCACGCACCCTCCTGTACTGCAGAGCGCGCATCATCTTACCCAGCAGCCTGGGCAGTCGGGTAAAATATCAGACTATGTTTAAAGGACATAAAGCACAAATGATGGACAGGTATTTTTGTTGTTGTTTGCTCAGCATCTTTCCCCAGTTTTTTTAGCTAATGGTATCTCCATTTCCTGTGTGAAACTGTCCTTCCCCTAGTCCAGTGGTTCTCAACCTTCTGGCCCTTTAAATACAGTTCCTCATGTTGTGACCCAACCATAAAAGTATTTTCGTTGCTACTTCATAACTGTAATGTTGCTACTGTTATGAATCGTAATGTAAATATCTGATATGCAGGATGGTCTTAGGCCAGTGGTCGGCAAACTGCGGCTCGCGAGCCACATGCGGCTCTTTGGCCCCTTGAGTGTGGTTCTTCCACAAAAATACCCGACTTCTGCGCATGGCCCACGAAGTTTCAATTGCACTGTACGTGCGTGCGCCCGCACGTGGTATTTTGTGGAAGAGCCACACTCAAGGGGCCAAAGAGCCGCATGTGGCTCGCGAGCCACGGTTTGCCGACCACGGTCTTAGGCGACCCCTGTGAAAGGGTCGTTCGACCGCCAAAGGGGTCACGACCCACAGGTTGAGAACCGCTGCCCTAGTCCGTGAGGTTCTGGTAGGTCTGTCAACCACAGATCCCTACCCTCCAGACCACACGCTGACAGGTGGCTTGAGCAGGATCTGAGTCCTCCCCTCAGTTTCATAGGTTTGTTGGGTTACTCTCTGCTGAGTGCCGGCTAGATTACATGATTAACAACACAGGCACCATTCCCGCTCCTGAGGAAAAACAAGCAGGCGAGCAGAGAAAGGAGATACTTTGAGATAACCGCGATGAAGGGAAGAGTTAATTTAACAAAGCATGAATGACTTACAGGGCTACGAGGGGAAGGCCTCTGGGAGTTTCCTCACTTCGCTTTGGAATAACATCATTCCGAAGCAGTCACTAAGTCTTCCTCCCCAAAGGTCCCCTCTACCACCACCACCAGCACTGCCACTTGCAGCAAAGCCCATCTACATAGAAGATCCACAGGAGAACCAGAGCGAGCAGTATCATTAGAACCTCTATTTCATATTCGAAGCCCATCCCACCCCTGATCTTCCCAATTACATGAGCCAATAAAACCCCGTCATTGATTAAGCTAGTCTGAATGGTGTTTCTATAAAAATAGCTAATTTTTTTTTAACAACGCACTTTGGTAGTAGAAGTTATCTTACTACAGGTGCACACCATGGACCACTTGAAATTCATACAGTGATATATGTCAATTATGTGTCAATACACTAGAAAAAAATAAATGTATACACATAATCAAAAAATATTTTTTTAAATTATCTCTAAAAATTAAGTTTACATTTTAACACGAAAAATGTAGATAGGACAAAATCTCAGACAAAAAGGTAGCCTCTCCATGGAATACATTTAAATTTATTTTAAAAAAAACTCCATGTCCCTATGAAAGCTTTGTCATGGGCCAGCACTGGGCTACAGAGATGTGTCAGGGAACCACTGACTTAAAGGAAAATACTAATACTTCACTTCCTATGAATTCAATTTGGTTACAAAAACAAAAAACATTATTACTAAAATTCCTTATTTTTAAAAGAAAAGAAAAAGAAGTGTGGTATGTGTGTTGATTTACTAAAGTGGTATCTCGGAGGAAACCTACCCCTTGTGCTGCAGTAGGCATTCTGTTCCATTGCAAAGGTTAAATCACCTAACAATCCAGCAGAGCTGTGAGTGAGCAGGCCTACATCATGCCGGGTTACTGAATGCAGTATATGGGAGTTTAATACTTTGCTATCTTCCCATAACAATACAAAGGCTTTTATGTAATGTATTACTACTAATTATCACACTTAGAAAAAAATCACAAAAGTTGTTGATCAGGTGGATATTTTAGACTTATAAAAATAAACATAAAACCACAGTACTGTCACATACATGTGTACACACACAAAATAACCTAGAAGTCTAATTGTGACTATTACGTATTCTTACTTTTGCCCCTCTCCAAGTGTGCATTCTGTTCCTTTCATTTTCTTTTTGAACACATCTTCTATGTTTCTGTTTATTACTGAAATATAGCGAGTTCCCAAACGGGATGTAATATGTGCTCAGTTAAAATAGCTTTCAGGGAGATCATGCCAAACAAAACTAGGCCTTAACTTATGCAAATTATTTCCTTGTTCTATTAAAAAAAAGAACATTGGTATATTCTTTTGAATACTAGCCAGTAAGTACTTAACCGCATAATTGTATAACAGGTTTGTTAAGAAGGACCGTGTCTATTTAACTTGCTTTTTGCAGCACTCAAATAGCAAGCTGACTTTATGGCTGCTCAGTTTTCTTCAACTAGTTTCATTTTAAAGATCCCAACCTCACCAATTTCTCTCAATGATTAAATCCTTCCATTCAAGCAAAAGCTATTTTTAAAAGCTTTTTAGATATCAGTTTCATCAGCTTTTGCATTTCTTATCCCTTTTCCTGAAGAATTTACCCTCAGATCACCACTCAGCACATATGCCAAACAGCTCTTACGTAAGCATCCCTTCGGTTTTCTCGTGTTCACTCTGACAACGCTTTCTGCCCTCCTGCCATGACCTCACTGTCACACCCTTCTCCCTTGAGAAGTCATCAGAACCCATGAGGACAGCCTAGTCCCATTTCTGCAGGTCATGGTCCTTGACTATGGGATCATATTAAAGAACTCTCCATTTGAGCTAGCCCTACAGCTATTATTAAAATCATTTCTCATTGTTAGCCCCTTGATTTCATCATTCTCATCCACTGAGCTCCCTGCCTTGCTTACTTTTGATTACTAATTATTTCATACTGACTCAATGTTTTCTACGAGATTACCTAAACCAGCTAAATTATTCTCTTACTTTTCCCAAGTTTCAAATTTGCTTTATTCAGCTTTCCTACTTCTACACTTTGTACCAAATGGTTCCCAACACCCAAGAACTTTCACCTGTTCAATAGGTCATAAAAGTATATTACCTCAAAGAAATCTATCCAAATTAATGTAGGATTAAAAAGAAAAAAGAATGTAGGATTAAGGGTACAGAGAGGAAAGAACAGTTAAAATTAAGTGCTCAAAATACAGCTAGCAATTTTCCTATCACAGTTTTAAAAAAGAGATATTTTTGTTTAGTTTTGTTTTGTTTTTAAAGAAAGGCATCTAGCCCTGGCTGAGTGGCTCACTGGAGCGTTGTCCCATACACCAAAAAGGTTGTCGGTTCAATTTCCAGTCAGGGGACATACCTAGGTTAAGGGTTCAATACTGGTCCGGCCACAAACGGGAGGCAACAGATCGATGTTTCTCTCTCACATCAGTGTTTCTCTCTCTCTCTCTCCCTCTTCCTCTCTCTAAAATCAATAAAACATATCTTCAGGTGAGGATTAAAAAAAAAGGTGTCCATTTGGTCTTCCACTGCCAATCCTCACATAGCACAGGTGAGATCTTTTTTCCTGTGATATTTAACAGATCACTTGAACCCCAAAAGTTAAAAATCAATATGGTGATGTAAAAGAAATCTCCTGAACTCTAAATATACTGTTGCTGCTGGGCAGAGATGTAAGTCATGGTATCCTTAAGAATGTATGACCAGGAAAAAAAAAAAGGTGTGGATGTCTTCTGCCCATTTCCTCTAGCTACCCAAGAAAATGGAACTATCTATCCCAGGGTAGCAATTCTAAAGAATGAAGGTAGGCCCAGTCAAGAACTGGCCCACAAACCTTATGAGGTCTAAGTCTCCAATGGCTCCAAGCACAGCTGAGTTATAGTCATTTACCTTATCCTATAATTTTTATCATTGTTCAGCCATTTAAAAGTGCTTGGAAACTGAAATATAAGAAATCCTACCTCACAAATACTGCCCTTCCTAATTAAAAGGCTCACTTCTAAAGTGGAATGGAAGTATCTCCATTCCATTTTTTTTTTTTTTGGCTGAAATACAGTTTACTTTTTTAAAAAATTAATTTGAGAGAGAGAGAGTAAGGGTGGGGGGCAGGGGGAAGACACCGCTTTGTTGTTCTACGTATCCATGAATTCATTGGCTGATTTTTCTACGTGCGCTGACCAGACAGATACCAAATCTGAAATGTTGGCGATATTGGGACAGTGCTCTAACCAACGAGCAACCCGGCCAGGACAGAGTCAGCTTCTTTAAAAAACCTTGACTTCTTTGGCTTAAACTGGAAGCTGTCTACTTGCACTAAATTCAAGCACTCACGTAGGTTTCATTTCGCTAACAGGTAGTGATGTAAAACTTTCTTAACAAGTTAAAAATGGGAGAAAAGTGAAAAAGCAATTAACTGCCATTTCAGTCACTCTGGATTGCTGTGAAATTGGTGGTCTTAATGTTTTCTAACAGAGACAAAAGCTTGGAAAGTTATTGACATGATTCGGCTACTGACATACAAAAGCAAGCTGATTCCATAAATCCGTCACTCATTTCTAGGATTGCCCACTGACACAAAAGGCTAATGCCATGAAATTTAGCAATCCTGCAGTTTCTATATACCTAAAAGACAGCCAAATATTTGCAAAGAATTCATGTAAAGCCAGAGAAATCATCTGTGGGTTTAATAAACCTTCTGTATCATAAATCCTCAATTAGCACAAATAATTTTTCAAAAGAAGCCAGACCCAGAACAAATGATTTTGTTCTCAGAATCACAATGTTCAACTTCACTTTAAAATAATAATAAGTTTTAAAAGAATGCTTTGTTTGGAAGAAATATACATAAAAAAAACAAGACAATGAATCAACTAAACTACAATCTACAGTTACACCATTTCCACTTATTGAGAAAATGTTGACAGAGTAAATATGGTGTGTGTCCTGGAACTAAATGTATTCCATAAACAAAGTACAGTTTATCCTGCCAAGTGCCATCTGTTAGATTTATATCTTGCCCCTATCAAACCGATCAACTGAAACATGTGAAAAAAATGTTCATTTAACTAGGTATTCTGGTTCAATTGATAGCAGTACAAAAATAGATTTTTTTTAAAAAGAATACAGGCAGCAAACACTTGCCGGAAAGATCAGTTTGTTTGAAACAACTCAATGAATGGCTGGATATCAAAGGAGTTGTCCAATCAGAGAACTCTGTTTTGAAGTTGAGAAACTGCTTTTAAACAACAACAAAAAAAGTAGACTTCCCTTATTCTACCTTAAACATTGCTTACCTGTATCTTATTTTTTAAAAAACTACCCAACATTTAATAACTTGCTCCTATAATTGACATGTAATTGACATTCATTTCCTGCAAACAACCACTAAGAACACAACACCTTCTCTTGAATCCTTATTTAGAAATTATAGCTACAGAAAGCCATGCTACTAAAAACTGGTATTTTTATTTTTCTATAATAAAGATTGAGCCCCCACCCTCCCCTTTTTTTTAACATTAGCAGCAAGGAAATTTACAGCTAAACCTGAAACTCAAATCTATGATCAATTTATTAAACTTAACATTATACTACTTTTATTTTCTTTGGTACTGGTTTTATAATTCTTTTTTTGAAACCAATATTTCTTGTAGGCATGGTTTTTATAAACTGACGCAACACACTGTATAAAAGATAGTGAACATAAGAATAATAAAATATTTCCCTACTGTTTTTCTCTGGTACTTAATAATCTGAAATACCCAAATTTAGAAACTAGATAGAGTTCCTCAGCATTTCAAAAGAGTAGAAATTATTACTCAGAACTTATACAGAAGTATACTTTCATACTTTTACCCCTAAAACATTTTTCTACTCATAGAAAGAATGCAATTTTAAAAATGCAAACACACTTCTGGGACCTATTAAAATATGCACTTGACTCTTTGTATAATTAAACTGAAAATAAAAGCCTCCAGAAAATTAAGGTGCAGAAAGGATGCCAGTGTGTCAAAGTTTCTTTTTTCTTTTTGTTTTTTAATTTTCATTTGAGAGAGAAAGAGAAACATCGATTTGTTGTTCCACTTATGTGTTCACTGGTTGATTCTTATATGTGCCCTGACCTGGGATCGAAACTGCAAACTCAGTGAATCAGAACAACGCTCTAACCAACTGAGCTACCCTGGCCGGGGCTCAAAGTTCTAAAATCTTTTTAAGAAAAGGGAAAGGAAGAAAGGAAGTTAATATGTCAAAGTTTAAAAGAAAAACAAAGCTTTCTTTGTAAGAAAAGTGAGAGGGGAAAAAACAAAATGATTTGCCACCTGTCAGGTGATAATGTTTCTTCTACATTTTAAGATTAGGAGCGGCTCACCATCTTCAGCTGCCGCATTTCAAACATTTACTTCTAATTTCCCAGGGCCCTTCCTGTCCCCTCTCCTGGAGCAGGCGACCCGGATGAGCAGCCTTACCTTCCATCGGGTGATGACTAGGGCAGCTCTGGCACTGAGGTCTTCCTCGGGAGGTGGCCCACCTCCTCCCCTGGCTGGCACATCTTCCCCCGGGGAAAGGAAGCCA